CAAACACAAGAAAAGCAAAACATTTTGAAAACATAGTGAGCAAGTACCTAAGAGCCCGTGGATAACCACGGATAGAAAGGGTGCTAACACCTTCCCTTTCTATAATCTACCTCCCGAACCGAGAAACATCTCGAAAAGGAATTTTGATGTGCTTTTGTCCTTTCCTTGTTGGAGAAAATAAAAGACGGGTGGCGACTCTTGCTTACCGCGACATTTCGCGAACCAGCATTCCAAAACAGTCAGTTCTATTTCCACCGATCACAAGCACCATTGATTAAGGATTTCTCTTCTTCCGCCTACACTTAATTTTTGGTTGTAGAACAAAACTGTGGGACCGTCTATGGGAAATGACTCCTAATTCCTGCAAAAATTGCATAAATGGATGATTCTAGATCCAAACTCATATTCGTACTAGAGTAACCAAATAATGGAGGTAATTAATTACCTCCATGATTATGCAGAAGGTCCCCGATCAACCTTCCAACCTTGCATCTCCTCAATTATCCATCATCAACATGATCCTTACCATGACAGCTTTGAAGGTACGACAAATCTGTAACTACATTTCACATAGATCCACTATCAGAGTCTATTTTCCATGTAGAAAAGATTCTCTAAACAGAAACTGAGATCATATTGCACTATAATTCCTAGATTGCAAAAAAGCAAATCAAACTTAGAGTGAATAGTTATCAATAGACAAAGTAGTTACTACCACAAATTATACAATGCTCTATGGTGGCGTGAGGTGTTAGGTATTCTGATATTAATCTACCACATATTGTTATTACCACTAAGATTCACCGAGCCACTATATTCAGTGATGATTTGTCATTAGAACACCTCTTCCACCTGGAAATTTAACACTGGGTCAAAAATGGAACTCTAAATGCACATAGGCAATCTAGGAACAATGAAATCCCAAGGATCACGAACACGGATCACTCGGAGATCGCCGAAATTTCTTCCGCTAACAAAATCCCTTACGATATACGTCATAGGAAATAAACTCTTAGATACGAATTTGATAAGGGCCAAATTGCAATGATGATTAGTAGCAATTAGTAGCCCTTTTTAACTTGGTTTATTAGATTCGCGTGTTAAAAACTCAACCTTAGTTTTAATAACAGCTTTTATCATTAGAATGATTTAATTGAACCTTTTAGAAGATCTTTGTTCATATAACTTTCTTCTGAACATACCTGAAACACATTCTAAGTTCTTGCATATATATATATATATATATATATATATATATATATATATATATATATATATATATATATATATATATATATATATATATATATATATATATATATATATATATATATATATATATATATATATATATATATATATATATATATATATATATATATATATATATATATATACATGTTTATTCGTTAGAAATGTAAGCAATGAGATTTATAGAGTTAGGTATACATCAAAATCAACATTATACTTTCTCCCTCTTTTTGTCATAATAAAAAAGATATTATTAAAAATATGAAGCACGTAAAGTCAGAAATTTTTTTCATTGATGATTTAAGAGAATACAAACAGAAGGAAAAAAAGTTTAGATAACAGAGGTACAAACATGATACCATAGATGAAACACATATACATTGTAGGAGACCTTAAAACTTTTTATTACCCTTCAAAGATGTTACAAAAAGTTTTCGAAAGGACATTTCCCTGTTCATTTCGCCGGACAAATTCAACAATCCATGCTTTAACGAAGACTTCAGAAAGAACTCTTCCAAAAGGTATAAAGGATTTGTTCTCACTTCTAGAGGAGGTAATGGATTTTTGCATAAAGTTGAAGATGGCTTAAGGTAAATTAATCTGGATTTGATTTAACATAAGTGCGAGGAAAATTTGATCATCGGGACTGAGGATGTTTTTGAAGATTCCTCGAGGACGAAAGTTTGTTAACAGAAGCTTATACCAAAAATTGGGGATGGGAAGAAGATTTTCAGGATTGATATGCTCATATCTGAATGAAGTGTCATGGAGAGAAAGGAGTTCATCAACAAAGGAATACCAAAGTTTTGCCTCTTTGATAGTGAATCCAATGTTTTCACGCCCAATAGCAATAACAATGGAGAACAGAGTGATGATAATGGGGACATCAAAGACACGAGATTCAATGGAACACCCTTCACACTTAACATAAGCATATTTTTAGAATTATTTCACAAGGTTTATGTAGATGGGTCACCAAGTATGGAAAAATAGTTGGACCACTCTTGATAATGCATGGTAAAGGAGATGCTTGAAGCAGTATCTCTGTTTCTAAGACGAAGAAGATGGATTTGTTCTTCGGATATTACTTCAATAAGATTCTCGTTTCCACGAAAATTATCAGAGACATGATAAAGATTTGTTTGTAAGAAAGATTTATGAGGAAGACATAGTGAAAAGAAATTAAACTGAAAGGGATATAAGTAGAGAAAAGTAAAACAAGATTGACATGAGAGTTGATTTCCTTACGCAAGAAATCAAACTCGAGATCCAAAAAGAGTTAATGTTTGAACAAGAACCAAGAAGGAACAGAAATACAATAATTTCCAAGACGCTTGTCAGAGAAAGGAATACAAGATGACAAACTAGACTTAGGAATAAATGGTCGTGCTAAAATATTATTTTAAAATGAATATCTTGACCTTTCCTTGAATAGACAAAAGATAGGTGTAATACCCCAAATTTGTCCTACCCTTTTACTTTTATCTGGCTTATGCATCTTGTACTTTTTCATATGCATTTTTCCATTAGGTTATACAATAAATCATGCATCATCAATAACTTGGAACTGAGATCAAGGATCTTGATGTTAGGGTTTCTTTTTCTTTGAGGCTCTCATCTTCACACAAGCTTGTTTCAATTGGTTTCTTTAACAGTCATGGTTGGAAGTTAGGGCTTCTAGGTGGTTTGAGGGTTTATGTACCAATTCAGCTTGGTTCATCAGTTTCCTCTTTGAGCATAGATTGTGGAATTAGGCTTGGCTCCTTTGCTTAAACTTGTTTATGGTTCATCAATTAGAGACTGGATTTAAGGGCATGGAATATGAGCATTGAACTAGGGTTTTGCCAAGGGGCGAGTATGGTTTACTAATTGGTTTGGATTCATGAAATTATACAAGATCGATTCAAAGACATCTTAATCAATTTCTTTGAATTTGGTCAAAGTCGACTTGAGAAGTAGTCTTTTGGGCCAAATTTCCACTAAGTTCATTATTAACTCATCCTATTGGTTTCAAGTTTGGAAGAAGCTACCAATGGTCAAAGTGAAGCATGGAAACCATATGAAAAGGATAGCATTCAAAGGATTTCAACTTATAAAAGGGTACAATTTCATTATCAAAGTTCATTGTTGCATAAAGTCACATGTGATTGAACTTTCATTCAAAGTCCATAATCAAAATTTCATCCTTTATTCGAGTTTATTCAAATAATAGGCAAAGTGTTAAAGAGAAATACTTGGAATCTCAAGTTCAATTTAGAATAAGGTGTATTCGATTATACAACTACATTTCAAAACATGGACAAATCCGAAGATCCATTCAAGTCACTACCTTAGCCTATTACATAAAGAAATTACACAAAAAACAAGTTACATTACAAGAAGATGTCATACACCATATTACATTAATTTACTACAAAGGAATAGAAGCATTACAATCCCAATCAAGTTTTGATACATTCAAAAACCATTACAAGTTCAAACCATTTCACATACATCAAAAGCTACCCAAAAATATTATCTTAAACTTATGTCGTTCATCTTCATCTTCATGTTATTTTATCTTCAATCCTTTCTAACTTCTCAAGCTTCTAGTAATTCACATTCCTGGGAAATTCTATTCTTTATCCCTTGGCTAATACCTTAAAATTATACCTGATTTTTATTCAAATGAATGGGCAGCCCTGCATTTTGTTCAAGAAACCAGTTCACCAAATCAGTTCACAGAAACTTGTTACGAAAAATCTGCATATAATCATTCATCCAAAGAAAAAAAAGAGAAACCATGACCTTGCATTGTTAAAAACAGATCCATGCCAATTTACAACAAAACCAGTTCAAAAATATCCAAACAATAAGGCTAATAAATTCATTCATTTCTAGTTCCTAACAACTCATTCAAAAATGTTTTTTATAACCAACTTTCAGTTAGGTTTTCAGCATTGTAGTAACTAACCTCCAATTACCTAACTAAATCCTAACAAAATTTCTAGCCCTCTAACTAATTCAGTTCCTAACCCTTAATTGTCTTCTCTAACAGAATTTCTACCTTCCTAACTGATACTAACAACTAACAGAAATAACAAAACAAAATTTAACAAACTCTCTAACCTCTTACCGAATTCGAACTACCATAACAGAACTGCTCTTAACCATTTCATAACCGAATAAAAACTTTTCCAACCTCTTCCCCAACTAACTCCTCAACAAACTAACCAATTCTCTAACTATCCAGACTAATTCTGTAACAAACTTCAAACAGAAGATATAACAGAAAAGGAGATAGAGATTCATTAATGATTCATAACAAAAAAAGTCAGAGAAAGTCAGAGACTCGCCTTTTCAACCTTGGTTCTCGATCTCTTTTCTCTGTTCTTGCTTCATCATCTCTTCATTCTTCACTCTCTAAAAAATGACACACAACTCAGAACTCTTCTCCTCTTATATTCATCTTCAATCTTTCTCTGTAACTCTCAAGAACGATTCATTCTCCAAAAATTCAGAGAATCACCAATTTCTTCTCCTATGAGATTTCCTCTACAACCTCTTAACACTCTCTCTTTCATCTTCATACCACTGCAAGCTTCACAAATTTTCCAAACTTCTTCTGCAACAAACAATATTCACGCACCATCTTCATCATCAACGTTCAGTAACCTCAATTTACAACAAAAAAACAGAGCAACAACTTGCTTTCCTCTCCTCTCATCGTAGCCTCGTCATCACGATTCAGTGCCGATACAACACAATACATGCATGTCTTCAAATTTCTTCTTCACATCATCATCAACACTCAATCAACATCACATATAAACAACAGCCGAAAAAGGAAAATGCAAAAGAATCACAAACAGAAGAGAAATCACATAATCAAGAAGGCACAAGGTCAAGTATATTACCTGGAATTCGCATCAGTATCTCGTCATTTTATTCGTCGAAACAAGAACCACCGGAGTTCTCTAGTAGGTAAGTCGATCTTCTTCTCAATCTCTTTATCCTTTTCACTCTTTCTGTGAAATTGAGAAACTGAAGCGAGAATGTGATGAAGTCGTGATAAAGATATAAGAGAGAATGGTATATAGCGGTATTGGAGCGAGAAAGAACGAGTTTGAGACTGAGGTCTCGCGGAGGCGTCAGATCAGTGAGACGAAAGGTTGAGCTTTCTGGAGTTGGATCAGAGAGATGTGAGGTTGCAACGTCATTTTTTCATCAAAGAAGAAGGAGAGTACAAGGAGAGATTCGTTGTCATGTTGTCTGTATTGTGAAGAAGACGGTGTTTGGAAGCTGAACATCCATGCGATTCTAAACCCTATTCCTAATTCAATTATTTTTTAAAAAACTTTTTTATTTTCTTTTAATGATACAAAATTCTGATCTAATTAACTTTTTTGGGCCTCAATTACAATTCAGATATGCACCAAACACGGATGCCATCCTGACACTCATTCAGATTCAGCTTGCAGATCTCTTGTTCAGATCCCAATACAGATACGCTCCAGACACGGTTGCCATTCTATCACTTATTCTGACTTTTTCCCCAGCCCAGAGACGCTCCAGACACGGATGCCATTCTGTCGCCTATTCAGATTTCAGACTCAGATATAATACAGATACACTCCAGACACGGAAGTCATTCTGTTATTCATTCAAATTCAATCTCCAGATACAACTCAGATACGTTCCAGATACGGATACCACTCTGATGTTCATTCTCCTGATTTAAAACAAGCATTCTTGGATGGCATCTACAAGCCCATCTCCGACAAGATTTTGTCACCTCTCCAAATGGCATCTTTAAGCCCATTCCCTCAACTACAATTTGACGAGTGCAAATTTACGGGCACTCTAGTGTTCAATCATCTTTTACCTTCGAGTCACGAACGCCAAAATTCGCCAATCTAACTCTTCAGGTTCAAGAAGATTGAACAGGGGCAGCTGTTGTACCCCAAAATTTGCCCTCTCATTTTATCAAGATTCTCCTTACAAGACTTCTTGGACTCAAGACCAGATTAGGGTTTGCTCAGCTCAAGACTTCTCCTTGCACTGATAACCTGAAATTAGGGTTTGAATTTGCACATGGATTTTTGGACTTCCAATGCCTCATGTGACTTTCATACTTCATGTTGGACCTCTAAGATTGCTCATATCAAGTTTCAAGCCTTGAATCACTTTTTTTTCCCAATCAATTGGACAGTTGACCTAAAAATCAGCTGTATTGGAGAAAAAGTCAACCATGGCCAATTTACAGTCAAACCTCATAATTTTTTATCCACAACAACATTATAGACTCATATGAACCATTTGATCAAATTTGGACCACAACTCCTCAAGAAATTTGATCAAATCATCAAAAGGGCAAAATGGTCAAAATTAGGGTTTTGACTGAAAAAAGGGCAATTTCTGATTTTTCACCTAGCCAATGGCCAATTGGGTTCAAGCATGGTTTTAAGAACTCAATGGCATTATCTTGACCTAATCACAAGGTTCAAAAGATCTCAAATGCATATGATTGACAGATGAATTTTCCAGTCAACTGATCAAAAATCAACTGTACACTAAAAAGTCAAACTTTGACTTTTTGGTCAAAATCAAGTGCCAAGGGTCATATTTCATCAAGATATGTCAAAATGTGAAACTTGTTCACCAAGAAACTTAAATTTGGAAATTAGGGTTTAAGTTTGAAATTTTTCATAACTTAGAAATTTTCTAAGTTATGAAAATTTCGTATTATTTTCCAAAATATCCCAACTTTTTCACCATGATAAAATTGGATTCAAAGAAAACTTCCAACATGAAGGTTGTAGTCCTCCACAAAATCTATAACTTTTATTCACAAAGTTTTCCCAAAAGATGCTTGTATCTCAAGTTATGATTTTGTGAATAGGGGTCCGTAAACTTTTTAACTTAGTGAAATTTTGCCCTAGTTTAGGCAGATTTTTGACCTAACTTCATGGAAACTTTTCACCTAGTTACAAGAGGAATATCAAAATCCATTTCAAAGATGGATTGTAGAGCATGTTTCAAGATTTCCAAAATGTTCAAGAACTCTCCAAGATCATTTATGGTTAGGGAGAATCGAAGAAATGAAAATGGCAATTTATCACTTTTGTTCAAGGCATTTTTCACAATGGTGCAAGTTGCAAATCTGTCCTAAGCATGCTTGTACTTGGTTTTACAGGTCCTAATCCCTTCTACACTCCATAATTAAATGCAAACACATTGGATAATGGCCTTTTTCTGACTTTTGAAGCATTGCACATTGAATTAATCCAAAAATGGCATAAAGTGCATAATACCATTTTGATAAAGCTTGCTTTTTGCAATTTTGTATTTCTTGAGCCATGGACCTGATCTTTGTTTGCAAATAAGATCCACAAACTTCAGGCAAAGTACACCAACTCTCATCAGGCCTTAAGCTAGCCTGCACAGGCCTTTGGCTTTGTCACGTCACCTTTTCTTCAAAAGCAAGCAAACTTGCAAAAGTCAAGCAAGCTTGTGTATCTGATAAAGGCAAGGCTTTGTATCATTTCAAACAATCTCAGAACATTGTAAAAAGAAAGAAACACGAATTTCCAACATCCCAAACACTCTAAAACACAAAAATCCCAAGTTCCTGCCCAAACAAGGCATCATCTGCAGAACTCAAGTCATTTCAAAATTGGCTCGTGCATTTTGCTTTGAATCACTTCAAACATCTTCCCTACAACACACTTGAACCATCCAGGCCTTTGTCCAGCAAATGTAACCCCTGTTTCAAGCTTCACCATTTTCACTTTTTGAGTTTGCAGGTTGACTTCTATAGGAAGATTCAGGCATCTACAAGGCCAGCTGAGCATTGAGATAGCTTGAGGGAACTTCAAGCAAGCTCACAAGAACTTCAGGCCTCACTCAAAGTGCCGACATTTCCATATCCAAACTCAACTGAACAAGGTATTTGTCAAGTTTCTATCTCTCTATTTAGGCATCATTAAGCTTAGGTTTGTGAAGCAAAAATGTAGTCCTCAACATGCTTAAGTTGTACATATGCGTCGATTCCATTTATATTAACTGAGCTAAGAGTATTTGGATGTTGAATATGCTGAAAAAGTTAGGTCAAAATTAGGGCCATTAAAATTCTCCTTGATCTTTTAGAGTTAGGTCATGTTTTTTATATCATTAGAATCGTGAGTTAACATGCTACAAGTTTCATGTTGCAAGATTTTGTTTTTATGCACGTATGCAAGAGTTACAGTTTGAAGCAGGGCGGGCACGTTTTTTTTTCTGGAGGACAGGGATGAAGTGGTGTCTGGGCCTGGCGCGTTTGGGCTTAGCTTTTCTGACTTTTTGCACCCCCCCTTTTACTTTTTGCACCCCTCTGACCTTTTATTTTATATTTTTTGTATTTTCTTGCATAATTTATATTTTCTGACTTTATTATTTTTTTCTGAACATTAAAAAATTCTAAAAAATATTTTCTTCATTTTTTGCATTTTATTTTATTTTTATCTTATTTTTTGCATATAAAAATAGTTTTATTTTAATAAATGGAAATCATTTTCTTAAAATAAATTGTAAATAATATAAAAATATCATACATTTTTATTTTTATTATTTATACACTTAAAATAATATTTTCATACATATTTCAATTTTTTAACATTTTTGTACATATTATTATTATTTTTCTTGAATAAAAATGAATAATATAGGATATATTTCTTTTGAAAAAAAATTAGGATTTTTTTATCCTTTCAAAAATAATCACAATATTTTTTCTTACTTTAGACTTAATTAATTTATTTTTCACATACATAAAAAATAAATACAAAAACACTTTGCATATTTACATATTATTGCATATTTATTTACGTGTTTATTTATTTATTGTACAATAAATTCAATTGGATTGTAATAGTAAATTAGGGTTTTATTTTTGTGCAAATATCCCCATTCAAAATTTGTATCCCCCTCCCATAAAAATTGTTGTAATAGTCTAGATTTACTTTACGCATTTTATTGCTTTCATATACCATGATAGTAAACTAGGGTTTTGTATGCAAAAGACCAAAAATCAAAATAAATAGCATGACCTAATACAAGACAAAAATGCATGAAAAATGACAACACATTGCACACAACACCCTTAGGGTTTCATCCACTTTGTTGCCTTAAAAATGGCCATGGTATGCATGCTAGGTATCTTGGCAAAACAAAATAAAACAAAAGATCATAGTCCCTCGATGACGCTATCTTGGTTGCCTAAACAAAAATGATCTTAGTCCCTAAAACTTGCTAAGATACTTGGCACCATTGCTATCATGGTCATACGATGACCCACGCCCGTCCCGTTTAACATCTAAAGATAGGGTTGTTTACCAAATACAATGGTAAAACAACAATGTCAAAGGAATAAAAATATGTAGGAAAGACTTTTGAGTAGGTAGATGCTTCTAGTTACTTGATCAATTTGCAAACCATCCTTGCTATTTTCAAACAAACACACACATTTCAAAAACATTTTCCAAACAACTTTCAAAACATTGAAACATTTTTCAAAAGACAAACATCTTTGTATACATTCTTACGAAAGAGAATCATTACAAAGATTGCCTAAACGAATGCCTCTTTTCAAAATACTTTCAAAACCACACAAAGCACCATTTCAAACAATTGAAAAGCAAAAGCAAGTGATCTAAAATAAGTAACTAAGAGCCCATGGAAAACCATGGATAAAAAGGGTGCTAGCACCTTCCCTTTTCATAATCTACCCCCCAAACTCAAAAACAATCTCAAAGGTCTTTCCTGTGCTTTTTTACCTTTCCTTTTGGATAAAATAAAAGTCGGTGGAGACTCTTGCTAAAACGAAACATTTGTGAACACAAACGCAAAACCTCAAGTCAGTTCTCCCATCGTATCACAGAACTGGCGACTCTGCTGGGGAATAAATATGAAAGTATGGTTACCTTAGGGTTTTAGATCACCTTTACATGCTTATCTTGCTTGACTTGTATGCTTTACACTTTGGTTCTATTGTTTG